CATGTAAACCCATATGTATCTCCCCTTATCAGCTCTCCAAGTTGTGCATGGATCCTCATATTAGACACATGACTTACATCAGGACCCATATAACAAACACGTTGCCTTCACCAACATCAATGGCTACTTTATTATGAATCATCCTCTTCTTACACTTAAACCCTTATATCAAATACATGATGCATGTCTCGCATGTGCCTCCTCTTCATCTTCCTTGACCTTATCACTAACTCCTTCATTCATCCTCTCGTGTTAGCATCCCTTATTGACATAGGTCCTCTATTTGCCTTTCAACATCACCCACCCCAACCTCGGCATGGTCGGAGTGGCTGCCACCTGTAACTTATCTATTCCTCGCTACTTATGATTGAATGATAGGGATACCTTATTGGTTGAGTTCGAGATCAAAGCATGTTTGGCTTAGTTACAAGACGGATGTTGTGGGGACCAAGTCGCTAAGGAAGCATTCTTGCTTGAAGTTCAAGTAGACAATTCCTTTAAAGTTGATGACATGGTTGCAGAGCTTGATAATTTCTACATCAGTAAGCAAGTTGTAAAGAGAGACAACACTTTGTGTTGGCTGTAACATCTTAAATTTTTAAATCCATTTAATTAAGCTTAACAAGGGTGATTAGTGAATTGATGAGGTGTGTGGTCAGAGGGGGTCTAATAGGTGTATTTAATTTTGATTTCAGTCATAAATATGGGTTTGAAGTGAAAACGGGCTATTCGGGCAAGGAAAGAAGAGGAAAATATGAAAAAAATTTCTTTATGCCACATATCTTGGGGTGTGGATGATCTGCCACAGCACATAGAAGCAATTGGCGTGAACCAGGCCTCTTTGTGTCATGTTTTGCGGCGGAGGGCTGTGTGCGCCACAGCACAATGCTAAAAATTTGCATAAGTCAATTCGTATTTACGTGTGAAAACAGAAGGCAAGAAAGTTGAAAAATGAAGAGCACGAATTTAGCTCTGCTAAGGCACATATATTAGGACTATTAAGGATGTTTAAAAACATTCCTACACTTAAGGCAAGTATAATGTGTTTCCATCCTCCCTCTACTTCTATTTTTATGAGAAGCTGAGTTAGGGTTTAAGCATTAATGGTGATTCTTAATCCATTTGAGTTATGAATCTGAAACTATTGATTAAAATAAATATAATGAGAGTTGTTTAGGGTATCTAAACTCAACATTAATGATTTTGTAAGTAGTTAGTAGTTAGGAGTCATTAATAAGCGAATTTTAAAATAAATGAGGTGGTTGAAAGTGTTTAATGTTCATTAATGATAGTTTAATGATTCATCGATGATAATATAGGTCAATAAGCCCTAGTAAACCCATTGGGTATAATGAGTAGTGAATTTATGCGGTTGATAAAATAGAGAATGTGAAATTTAGTGTCGGTGATTACCCAAAAATGGGATAATAATAATATCCTTGTGAAATGATTACAGATAATTATTTTTGACATCGTTCAAGCTTGAAAAGAAGCTTTAGAAGTTGGTTACTATGAGGGATAAACTTTTAACTTTTTAAAGATTTGAGGTAATTGAGGAAAAGCTATTTTGTATAGTTATACGTTAATTAAATAATTGTGGAAAATCAATAATTTGAAACTTGGTTGATATGAAAAATTATTGTTGCAACTGCGTTAATGTGGCTATAGTGTAAAATAAGTCTTGTACATGGGCATGAAAAATTGATTTGCGTGTTTAGATGTTTATGATTGATGTTGGTGTTAAGAAGATGTTTAGATGAGAATGATAGAATGATTTTTAATGTGGAGTGCAAAGTAGAAAGAGTATGCTCATGGATGAGATGGATTGTGGATTAGAATGTATAATATATGTAAGTTGTGGATATCATGATCATTAGTGGGAGTTCGCCTAGAAAGAAAAGTATATGGTTAAATTCATGTGGTATTAACAACTTATTGTTGGAATCGAAAGCTTGCCTTGGCATTGACCGTTATAATTAGAAGGTAGCTCTTATCTCATAATTGATTCAGGATTGTTCTATTTATTCTATAAGGGACTCAAACCTAACTAATCTCCATTGGCTTATGAGGAGGCTGGATTAGAGATATGACATCGTATGATTGTTAGTATTAGGAGAAATTGTGTTACACAAGTTAGTGAGTTAACCATGACCTCGTAGCTTCTCATGAGTAAAAGGTTGGGTTAGTTCATGATGGATGTAGCCATTGGTTTCATGTTAGAGGTAACAAGAGGGTATAAGGCTGTCATTTGATCATGCATTTAGTTTCAGCCACATGATTATTAGTATTGTGGTCCGGTATGTATTAAGGGCTCATAGTTGTTAGTTTTGCAACCTTATATTATGCATAATTGACATGTGTTTATACTCGATCAAATGGTTATTATTGTTGTGACCATGGCTATATGTGCCATACACGCGATATATGTGTATTGCCATTTGCATATGTTTTTAATTGATATGCAATTATACAGTCTAGGTGAAACTTTGTTATTGAGTTGTTGTACTCACCCTCAATTTTTAATATTTTTAGGGCCTAGCTCATAGAATATAAATCGAGGAAAGCATAGTAAGGCTTAGGATTTCGGTGTAAATCCTACTCATATGCCTCTTTGCTTTGTTTTATGAGTATTAATGTTGTTACTTTGCCAACTTAGACTTATATGATTGTTTTGGGCTACCTGTATTATTATTGTGTACAGCCTGTGTATTTTGTACCATGTTAGTGAGTTTTGATTGTAAATACAGGGCTAAAAACACTTGTGCAAATAATGCTATGTGTATTTTGGGATGTTTTGAAATGAAAATGAATGATTTGTGCAAATATTTCCTCCCCTTGTGTTTTATAAAATTTGGGATTGAGTGGTGAATTTGAGTGTGGTGTGTTACACGAGTCCTATAAGGTCTATTGAGTGTGGTTAGATAGTCGGTGTAGGTTTTGACACTTGTGTGTAAGTTTAGACACTATTATTATAAGTTACAGTGAAAAAGGAGTAAAAATGGGTATGGGTGTTCAATTCTTTGTAGAAAATGAATTTGAGTGTAAAACTTATGCTATTAGCCAGAACCAGGAGAAAGCTCTGTATAGACACTGAAATCATTTTAATCGGACGTTGGACGAGAATTTTAGATGCATTATTGTCATATGATAGCAAAAGTTTGTTATCAAATATTGTGCAATGCGCCCGGCCCATGGTGCCTCACGTCGTGGTGCATGGAATAGAGGCTAATGAGCATGACGTATAGGCACTTAGCCGTGGTGCAAGTGCTTTTTTGCAATTTTCACTGCTTTAATGATTTTATACAAATGCTTTGATTTTTCTTTTCCCATGCTTTTGTAATGTTTTTTTTAATCTCTAATTTGAGTCCCTTGGAAGTGTTGATAGCATTTTAAATGTTGAAAGTCTTGGGGTTCATTTGCAATGGTTTGAAAATTGTTTCCTCCATTTATAAGTTATGAAAACTTGGTAATCGTTGTTGGGTTTAAACCCTTGATTACCTTAGGATTAATAATTATGGGGTTTAAGTAAGTAGATCTTACATTGGCTATGTCAAAAGCAAGTATTTCTACATCAGATAGGGAGTTGTAAAGAGAGAATGAAAAGAGGGAGGAAAATTAGATCTTCCATGTGATGTCAATAGATATATAGGTCTCAGTTCTTAAAGTAATAGTCATTTGTTTTAAATTAACGATAGAGGTGACATTGTCCCATGTTTAAATATTTAGGGTTAAAAATTTACTAAATACAAGTTTAAAATTTCAATTACCCCTAGACTTATAGTTTAGGGTTTAAATTGTCATTTAACCCTATGAAAAAAATCACATCTAGTTCTATTTATAAAATAGAGATAGAATTTTTTTGTCTATTATAAGTCACATCATTAAATTTTTATCAAGAATAAATTTGGAAGTTTATTTAGTTTTGTGTGAGAGAGAGTTAATAGGGATAAATTTGGAAATTTATTCAATTTTTGGACAAAGTTAATGTGCTTTAAATTTTTTTTTAGCTTTCGTTAAAATGTTAAAAATGACCAATGAACATGATTCAAGAAATACTCCTTTCAGTCCAAAATGAAAACATTTTCTTTCAACTAATCTTGATTCAAAATAAAATCAACTTAGCAAGTACTTGTAATTTTTTTTTGTCTGTGAATTTATGACATTCTCACTTATCATAAATTAAAATTATAAATAAAGAATAATATATATTTTTATAAGAATAATTTTTTTAGTTCATAAGTGATTATTAAAAAATACTAATATGTTAAATTGGAGGAAGTAATGCATATGAGAAGCGAAAGAGAAAGAGGTATTTCATCTAAAACTAAGTTTTATATTTCCTCCATCCTAAATTATAAAATATTTTTAAATAAAATTTTACATATCAATAAAGTTTATTAAATACACTCTACAACTTTACTTTTTTAAAATAAACATATAAACTTTTTAAATTACTTTTTATTTAAATATTTAATTGATAAAAAATATTAAAAAGACAGAATAAATAAAAATAATAATATTAAAAAATTATTATTAATGAAGTTTTGTTAAATATTTTTTTAAAAATATATTATAATTCGAGATGGATGAGTACTGTTATACTTGGCACAATGATCAATTATGCTATTGGTGGGTTTTGTGGAAACAATTGTCATTGGGGAAGTCAATCACCTTGCTTATCTATTTATAACAGTTGTTTAATTAATACAAAAACATCATTATCCACTAACAGATCACAAAATAATAGATAAGCCGAGAATGGGAAGGAAGCGACAAAGAGGACGGCACCCTAATCAGAATCCTAAGATTTTCTAACAGAACATTCCGTTTTCAATCATTATTTTTTTTCTCCAAAATGCCAATTTCAATCATCGTCGTGTGATACACGCGGGCCGAAATCGCGTCACTTCAACTCCAACCCCCAAATCTTCCCACAGTGCTCTGCTTTGCTCAACATAAATACTTACGATAGACTCAGGCGAATAGCCCATATATTTTAAACCAAACCAAACCCCTCGTAATTACTCGCATAGAAAACTGAGAGCTCTTACTGGGAGCGAGAAACCGAAAGAAAGTCCCCAGCTCTTCCCGCTTCTTCTTCAAACAAAGAGTGTGGTGTGGGATTACAGAAGCAAGCCATAACTGCGAGGAAAAATGTTCGCCGAAGAGAATGGTCTGAAGGGAGACCCGAGGTTGCAAGCCATCTCGGAAGCCATTAGAGTCGTGCCTCACTTCCCAAAACAAGGTTTTAATTTTTTTAAATGATGTTTTGCTCAGTCTCTGTTACCTCTGTTACCATTTTTTAATGTCCCTTTCACTTGGCCTTGTTGTGTTTTTTATCTTCTTGTTGCAGTTTCTTTTTGAACTTTTATCGAACAGATCTGGAGGTATTATATACATGTTTTTTTTTTTAAATGGAATTTGCAGGGATCATGTTTCAAGATATAACGACATTGTTGTTGAATCACAAAGTCTTCAAAGACACCGTTGATATTTTTGTCGATCGTTACAGAGACATGGATATTTCCGCTGTTGCTGGTATCGTACTCTATATTGAGCGCCTTCTCTATTACATTCATACTTTCTTGATAAAGAAAAAAAAAACATGTTTTGTAAGGTTTCAAAGTTTATCAAACAAATCTTGTGGCATATTGATATTTTGCTGCTGCAGGAGCCAAGGTTGTCCCCTGTCTTTAATAATTTGCGTCCTTACGTTTTTGTCTCGTTACTGGATCTTTTTGCCTTCTTTGAACCAAAATTATTTTATGAATGTTCTAGCTTTCTCGTATCTATCTCTAACTTTTGTTCAAAGAAGATTCGCCCGCTTGTTTATGTAATGATGATTCTTTCATCTCAGTTCATTTTTCTGTATATTTTCGTATACACGGAAAATCAGATATCATCTTCCCTTTTAATACTATATATATTCTCCTACTTTAAAAAAAAATCCCGGCCTTCATTTTAATTGCTTTGGCCTTTGTGCCTCTTTTCTGGGCAAGGCTCGGAATATTTTGGTGCGAGTAAATAAATAATGACTTTTTTGTCGTCCTTTCGAAAAACTTATTTGTGAGGATATTTTGACCTTGAATATTTCTTGACGGTCCTGGCATAGAAGGCACATGTAGGTCTTCTACTAGTCTCGAATGCAAAATGAACTTAAACATGAGCACACTATTCTAAACATAAACTACTTCTGTTTTGGATCCCGTGGAGCACTTGCGCTAAGCATTGAATTTTGGTTTCATGGAGATTTGTATGTAATGAACCTCAAGAGATTACCATCACTGTCATTCAATACAACCTTTTTGGGTACTACCATATGTTTCCTCTGTTTGGTTTATGTGCTCCTGGTATTGAAACTTGGATTGTATGTAGGAGTGGAAGCTCGAGGATTTATGTTTGGCCCGGCAATTGCGCTAGGCATCGGTGCAAAGTTTATTCCCTTGCGCAAACCAAGAAAGCTGCCAGGTACATCTATTTAATTTTGAAAACAAACTCAGACACCATGTGTTGTGTTACTTCGATTTAATTACATTAGTTTTGAGTTGAGATATCAAAACTGTGGTCAAAACAGTACTGGTATTTTCCCCACTTTGGGTTAGAATGGTCTTGTCTGAGTAGAAAGCCCTTGTCTTTATTAATGACTGATGCCAAAGTCCATTGAACTTGACGACTATACGATATTCAATTTCAAATAAAATGTTTATTATATGTGCCCGTAGCACTATATGTGTGAACTAGTCGTGCTGATGGTTCTACTGGGTCTTTAGATTCATGCCTAAACTATGACATGCTTCAAATACAGGTGAAGTCATATCAGAAAAATATGTTCTTGAATATGGAACCGATTGCTTGGAGATGCATGTTGGGGCTGTACAGCCCGGGGAACGGGCCTTGGTTATTGATGATTTGGTGGCTACTGGTGGAACTCTATCAGCTGCAATAAGGCTACTAGGTGATTATTTTCTTTACGTTTGGTGTATAGTGTCTTCTCTCGACTCGCCATTGTTCTTTGTAGTTCCTAGAATGCTTCATGGTTTTACCACCTCTGTTTTGTAGAACGTGTTGGTGCTGAAGTGGTTGAATGTGCTTGTGTGGTCGGTGTGCCTGAGGTTAAGGTACTGCCAAAACTTCTTTTGCAAGCTGGGTTTGTCTCACGAGTTAGCTCAATTTTCGATCTTCTTAGTGGTGTGGTGTATTTTTGAATGTGAAAATTACCTGATATGGTAAAGAACCATTAATGCATGGAGCGCAGTATCATGATCTTTTTTATTTTATATGATATTGATGAGTCTGTATATCTCATGCTGTAGTTTCTTCGCCCCAGAGAATGACTGTTTTCATTTCATCTAAATCCTAAAACTAGAGAAAGTGATATTTGGATACTGGAGGCTTAATGGAAAGCCATTAGTATGCATTTTGCTGTCATTGAGTCCCTCGTCTTTCCATGTAGTAATTTCGTTATCAAGAGATGCCGTGGAAACAATCTTGGTGTGTTGGCCCAAAAAAGTTAAAAAAGGAAAAGAAAAAAAAAAGAAAAGAAACAATCTTGGTGTTATATCTTTATTCTTAGAATTTCGTGGAAGTGAGGTTTAAAGAAATCCGTCAATCTTTCAGGGACATTGCAGGCTTAATGGAAAGCCACTATATGTTCTTGTGGAGCCACGTCAAATGGATAATGGCTTTTAAGGTAACGTCAGTATTTCGTCAGAAATTCAAGCACTGCGTTGAATAGTCGTTTAGAAAGTACAGGAAGTCTGCATTTTTGCGATAGTTTAGAGACGATTATCATCAAGTTAAGTTGCCAATTACGGAATTATAACGTTGATGCAGATGGATAGGTGATTCGTACTCCGCTTGGGCTGACAAAAGAGAAGCGTGATGATTGTTCCAGTAACGGAGGCCCATGATATGCGGCGACCAATCAGCACAGATGAAAGAGTTGTGTCGGGCACCAAGGTTGTAATTTAACGATGGGAAATGTTGCTCCTAATGTCTCTAATTTTCTTGTATGGCTGACAATTTTTAACAATCATTCTTAAATGCATGGGACTTTCCTTAAACCGGCACGCAAAGTCGGACAAAATTCCAAATTTTTTCCAAAACCTACAAAACATTTCATGCTTCTACTGGTTTTCCTACGTTAGTTTAAGACTAGGAAAAATGAGCCGTTCAGTGACGTTTGGGAATGTGGCTCAATCTTCTATTTGACAAGTGGTGGCCTAACAATAATCGATGGTAATGACACACTTCCAGTCCCTTGTTTATTTCTTGGCCGTTGCAACTATCCTCTCTCTCCCCCCTCTTTGTCCCCTTTTCCTGGCTAAGTGCAATTACCTTATGACCAACACCCACAATTTTTTTTCCCATCCTGGGACCTGAGCAAGCAACCTCCTTGCTATGGGAGGGGTGCTAATATCACAAAGGAGCTGTCTTGTGTATTCCGGTACTTTAAACTATTTTATTGAAATTAATACGAACTGATTAAGTTATTGATTTTGTTTAAAAATATAATAAAATTAATTTATTCCTATTTAATTAAAAAAATTAAATTTATATTATATTATCAATTTCTTTTGGTTAATGAGTTTAAATGGGGATGGTATTATAAAAATATAAATAACGTCCTCATATGTTAACACTATGTTTTGAAAATTTTTCTCCGGGGGGGATGGAATGACTAGAAAGCTAAGGTCATTATTTGTGAGCTTTTTTTTTTAAGAGAGATGAAATAATAAGGAAGGGCCTCTAAAATTCTCTTTTGTCATTTACAACTTGTTTTGTTTTTTTGCCAATTCAAATTGGGAATCAAGGATCAGAAGGATGGAGTGACATAATATGATTATTTTATTTGCAAAATTACCCTAATCTCCTACTCTAATAAAAGAAATCACGTTTATTATTTTCATTCTCTAGTCATCTCTCTTGGCTCTCAATATATCTCTCTTGCTCCTGTCATCTCCCCCCCCTCTCAACAGTATGACTCTATTGCATTTTCCTCTTGTGCAACAGATATGTTTGCTTGAGTAGTTCTATTATTTTCTTTTTATTTTTATTTTTAATCCTTGGGTAGCTTGTTTGATTGTTAATTTTAATTATTATTATTTGTGAAAAATATTATAATTATTTAATAAGCATAATTATTTTCTTTAAACTTAGTCATCTAGGTAATATTAGGAGAAATTTTTTTCAATCTATTCTGTTCCGTTCATCTTATAATAACTTCCAAACAAAGGCGGAGCCAAGATTTAAGAATAAGGGAGGCCGAGAATAAAAAACATATACTATAAAGTTTTCATAAATTTTAAAGGGGCTAAAAGTATGTAACACCTATATAATATAAAGAAAATTTTAAAAAATTGGAAAGGCCACGACCCTTGTTGATCCCTCTCCCTCTACCACTGCTTCCAAACAATGGTCATATAAGACCATTCTTTTTTATTATAAAATTTTTAAACAATGAAAAATTTTATTTTATTCTACTCTAACTTCCACTCTGTTCCATTTCATTTATGAGTTATGACCATTCTTTTTATTCAATTATAAACTCCAAAATGCACTGGGGAATCTTTACTACGTAAGTAATCGTAAAAGATGTTCTTGTGTTCTGAGTGAATGGAATCAGTATAGTTATTTATTACAAAAACGTGCCATGATTTTTAAATTTACGTGGCTGCATTTGAATCATTGCTACGTTTCATTATTGTTTTGAAGAAGTGAATGCTGTATATTTTCGTTAATTTTATTTTTTTTAAGAAAGAGGCAATTTTAAGTTCTGGAAAAAAAATAATAGAATGAAAAAAAATTAAAAAAGGAACAAATTCATAAAAATTCATGGATCTTAATTTTAGAGAATTTTCTTTCAAATGATAAATATAAGAGATGTAGTGGATTGAGTTCTGTCAAATAATACATTTAACAACAAAACAAATCCTTTAGCTAGCATTCAAGGAAATAAGATATAGGGAGAAGAAGATAAGAGGATGAGAGGGTTTCTTATATATTATTATCTTTTACTATACAAATAATGTCATATTCATAGGCATGACCTTGTACTACGGGTTACACAAATGATAATAGCAAATAAAGGATAATTAACACACTTATGATGGTGAAAGTTTAATGGAAGAAGAGGTAAGAAAGATTGGCATCATACTTTTAATGTTCATAGCAGCATTTGCATGTGAAATTGGAGTATTTCTTGTTAGCCATTTTAAACTAGACGAATTTTGATCAAGGTAGGGTGATGGGGAAGCAAGTGCTAAATATTCAAGCTTGCAACATAATGCATGTCTCCTTATATTACATATAATATAAATATAAAAAGTCCTTGGCTTAGAAAAGGAAAAATAAGGAATGCATAACTGAAAAATATTTTTAAGGGAAAATAAATAAAAAATAATAATATCTGGCAGAAAATAGAAAACTTAAACAAAAATTTGTCCATATGCATATACCAAACATATATATTTCATGGCATTATGGTATTCAGAAAAGAAACCAGAATCCCAAGAAGTTCAGGTCAGAAACAATCACAAAACAAGTGTGTGAACTGTAATGTGTCGTTGGGGCTGGGCTATGGGCTTTATAAAGGACGCCGGACGCCACTTATTCTATCATTTTGGGCTGATCGCCAGCCCAATTTACTAGTCAGAACATCTATCCATTTTGTCTTGGACATAACAATTACATCCAGTGTTCACAATCACGCCTGGCCCCGATCCTCTATGAACAATCATCTTACTTTGACCAAATTATCACTTACCTAAGTTATATTCCATTCTTCCCATGAAGTTTTGCAACTTTTCTTCTTTAGGTTGCAAGGAAAGAAAGTTCATGATTCTATTTCAACAAAAACCTAGTTCAGATTAAAAAAATGCTATTCAGAATAAATCGTGGTTTTGCATTTGTTTCATGAAGAGAATAGTAAATAAACCTTAACGTATTAGAATTCATTCTCTATCTCTTTGCCTTTTGCTTTAAAAAAAAATCCTAGTTATTTTGATGTTACTTTAAAAAAAAAAAACAAATAACTATTGTAGCATTCCTCCTTTGAGAAGCAATAAAAGAAAACTCATGAACGAGTATTCTTAAAACTATAATTTGGACGAAGTCAGGGCCACACATGTACTGCATGAAGAGGATCGCACGACCTTAGCTTGCCATGCGAGCCTTCGTATATGAGAGCGTGTAGTCTTCTCCCTTTTCTGAACCTCTTATTTTGACAAGGTGCTATGGTCTGTTTCACACTAGCTCCTGCGTCCTGAATTCGCCTGCCTTTTCTTCGTCGCACATTTTACAAAGCAAACAAAATTTAAAAAACGGAACGTTAATCATTAGATATTGGATAACTATTGCGAAAACAAAAAATTGTTAGGAGAAAAGTTAGAGTGCGCCTGCAGGACTGTGCGAAAAGATTTAAGTGGATACGTTGGCCAATTACTGCCTTGCGTTGCCTATATGAAACTTTCTCTAGATTATTTTCTCATTGTGTTCTTTTTTTCTTAACTTCTTAGTCCATTTATAAATTAATTGTTATAATAATGAATAAAATCTTTTAAAAATTTGAAAGCTACTCCCTCAACTATCCCACTTTATAAGATATTTTTTATGAAATTATGTATATGTCAATAAAGTTCATTAATTGTACTCATTCTAGTCTCTCTTATTTAAGGTGCATTCTAAAAAGATTTTTTGTCCTTTAATATAAAATATTTGATGGGATATTAATCATGTTTTTTCAATAGTATCCCTGTGTAAAGTCATTATTTGTGAGAGAAAATGCAATGCAAATTCAATTTTTTATTTAAATAGGATAAAATTAAAATTTTATTTCATTTATCCTTATTTCCAATAAGATATTTAGAGGGGCCTTAGGGATTAGGGACCAATGATAAAATTAAAAGTTTATTTTATTTATCCTTGTTTCCAATAAGATATTTAGAGGTGCCCTAGGGATTAGGGACCAATCACTAAAGGGAGTACTTTATAATCTTATCTTTTTAAAATAAAAATATAAATTTTTTAAAATATCTTTCATTTAATATAATCTTATTTGTAAAACATTTAATAAAGAGAGAAAATATAATAAGGAGGGAGAGGGCAATATTGAAATTTAGGAATAAGTATAATTAATGAAACATTATTTTTGTTAAAATACTCCATTTGAACCATAATATAGGATATTGATAGCTAAATCATTGTTCAAAAAAGTCTGTCAAAACCTTAATTTTTTTAAAAAAATTATATTTTTTTCAGTTGTGCTCTCATTAAATATCTTATATAAGTGTCTTGATAATAACAATTAAAATTCTAATGTATTATTTTTTTCAAAAAGAGTTATAAATGAAATAGGTATATAGTTGAAAAATAATTATAAAAATTACTCAATACCTTATATTTTAAACCAAACAATGCTCCTAGAGGATGTCTTGTATTGTGATACAGAGAGAGTATCTTATATTTTGGTACACCAAGTTATTTAAAAAATGTCTTATAAACTAGGAATGAGGAAGTAATACTATTTATCTCATGCATTAAAAAAAAATTCAATTAATGTTGATGGATGGGAGTTGAAGTGCTTGTTGAAAGAGGCAGAGAGTTGAAGGGGAACGAGGCACGAAAACTGAGCTGAGAGAAACGAGAGAGAGACAGGGAAGAATGTAATGAGTCATTTCTGGCAGTGGTCCAAGTCCAACAAAATACTAAACCATGATTTGTTTGATGAGACGAATTCGTTTTGGAACGAATGCCACATCCCCTTGCCAATGGCGTCCTGCACCCAAGAATCTCATCCAACCTCATCTCGCCCTCCCTCTCACATCTGACACTTCTCCGCTGGATTCCACTCTTTTACTGCCCATCTTTCATTTCTGAATAAATAAGAAACCAATTATCTTCCAAAAGTTGTCAGCTTTTCAAGCAAATGATCATGACCATATATGGAAGAAGATGTGCTTTTATAAACTCCAAGCATTCGCTGCGAGGCTAAATAAGACTGGGATATGACACTGTAAAATTCTGTAATGAATACAAATATCACACACACGGTTCTCGCTTTATCCTTATCGTTTCAGTATGGCAAGA